TGGGGCCCCAAATTGCTCACAAGTCAAAACCTGTGCAACGTCACGATTGCAGTTGCCCAAATGACCATGTGCAATGACAACCTTCCCTGGTTTCTGCTGGGGCTTTGGAGAGAGGACCCCTTCAACCTTGGCTGGAATTAGGACCCCAGCAAATATATATGGTTTTTGCCTGGATGGTACCAAAAACAAAGGAAACCCCAAAAATGCGGAAAACAAAAGCAAAAAAACACAAAAAGGGGAGCTAATCCTGGGGAAGAGACATGCTCAATCCCACGCCTTTCACTTCTTCTTGATGAGGCCCTTGCGCCGCTTCTCGCGCCGATCCTCGTACTTGATGCGGAGCTGCGCAGCTCGGGCCTCGTCCTGCGCGAGCGAAAGGGCGATTCCACGTGCCCTTTACCCTTCCTCCAACTAACATGGCACCTGTGGGGAGAAAAGATTGGCAATATTCATTCCAGCAAATGGAAGTAAATATTGGGGGGTGGTTGTGGCCGCTCCAAAAATGGTTTGATTCCCCACATATCTGGAGTCTCCACGACCCTTGAAAAATGGGGTCATGACCCCTTAATTTTAGGTCATGATCCAATTTTTCAAGGGTCATGGAGACTCCAGGTACTTCAAACTAGATTTACTCCCCCTCCAACTAACATGGCACCTGTGGGGAGGTACTTGGAAGATTCATTTTGAAGGGAGCCACTGTCAGTTGCCATGTTAGTTGGAGGGGGGTTAAAATCTAAGGAGTACCTGGAGTCTCCATGACCCTTGAAAGATTGGGTCATTACCCAAAATTAAGGGCTCATGGACCCATTTTTTAAGGGTCATGGAGACTTTAGGTACTCACCTTTAAATCTAAGGGTTTTTGTATTACACTACCCTGGGAATACACCAACTGGGTACTGACCCCATTTAGGCACATGTCCGGATAAAACCGTGTTACTTTGATACTTTGAACCCTGCTGGGTCATTTCCCAAGGGTGCAATCCCAGGGAGTAAAACAAAAACCCTCAGATTAACGTACTCAGAACTACGGATTGCACAACTGGAGTCTGACATCTGCCTGTGATAGCTTTCGACCTGTAAGATGTGCTGGAATGCCAAACAGGCTTTCACGGGGTAGGCCACTCGCCCGCTTTATCCCAGCGCCACCCCGAATTAAGGGAATGGCCCGAATACCAAGTCAACCTTGGCAGCAAAGCGCCCACAGGCCGATGCGTGACAGTCATCCCTAGCACGCATTTGTTGGAGAATTGAAAGCAAGGCAATCAGCCTCTTTTGGGCCAAAACTAAGACGCCGGCATAAAGCCTGCGATTCAAAAGAGATAAAAAGGAAATGACGACATGTGACAAGAGAGACGGACCAAGAAGTCTGTGAAATGTCCCGCGCACTCAACGACGCGGAAGAGGTAGTCCGTTTGTCACCGACCGATCAAAAGCCAAGATCAGTCCGCTGTGTATGGCAACGTTGATCAACACCCCAGGTCACACAAAAAGGTCACAAGCAAAGTGATTCGCCCAATGATTCACAGAATGGTCGCCAAGCACGAAAGAACCAAACATTGAAGATCATGCCAAGTTGAGAAGAACATCAAATTGCAACCATTGGAGAGGAGGGTTCGCCTCCCCAAGCTGAGCTCCCCGTTCGTTATCATCGAATTCATTGAGGCGTGGCCTCGCTTGATCAGGGTTCTCCGTGCTCCAACAAGGTTCGGACTTTCCTCCCTTTCACCAAAAACCAATACCATCCGGAGGCCCAATGGCAATAAGAACGTCAGGTCCAACGGGAAAGAAGTCTGGACACCTGGCGGCAAGACACTCAGCACGTTCCTCAGGTCATATTGGGTTAGCCCTTGGAATGCCCCTTTGGCGTAAGCTCACGAATCCCCGCGGCATGCCCAAAAACCCTTTCTGGGGTCGATTCGAACAAGGGACTAGGGTGAACTCCGATCAACACCCCGTGCCATTTAGGATCGCCAGAAATCCGAAGAAAAAAAGGCGCCGCCTCTTGATGACAAACAAAGTTTCCCAGTAAACCCCATTTAGGTGATTTCTGTGTGTGTGTGTTGAGGGTACTCTTTGGGTTGTTTCTTTCAGGGAACCAAAGGAACACCGCTCGTTTTCGGGACCTGGTGCCCACATTTTGAGACAAACCCATTTAGGCTAATAAGCCCACCAAGCCGTTTGCCCTGGGCTTTTTTTCATCATTCACAAAAACGGCTGGGTCAATATAACTATCATGATTGCCCTTCAGGAGCTTCATCCTCCTTTTATTGGGCCCCCGTTCCGCAATTATTTTGCTGGGAATCGGCATTCGGAACCCCACAATTTGGGGCCCCCAAACAGGGATCTTTACATTATACACCTGAACATTGCCTTGTCAATGGTGAGTTCCCTTTATTTTGGCGGAAAACGCCATGTGTCAGATGGGCAAAATCTATCTTTAAGGAGCCCTGCCAAACATTCCGTGCTTTCCCAAAGCGCAACGTGTCCTTGGAACAGAAGTGGCAGAAGCTACAAGAGCTCCCCAGCCGGCACCCGCTGTCCTAGCCGGCAACCCGCAAACTTCGCTTCGGTTCTCCCGAAACTTCCGGACCCAAACCGTGACTTCACGTCGGTGGATTGGCCAAAACAAATCTGGGAACTCTTGATCTTGCTGGCGCGATAGGGAATGAGAAATGGAATGAACCCAGGCTTTGGTCCCCTCATAAAGGAAACCACCAGCAAGGGATGGTTTTTCTTGGGGTCGGTTTATCCATGTCTCATTCCCTGCATCTCTTGCGCCAGCGAGTTATTTCCCACTAAACTGGCCTTCCGGAAGTCAGGGAGTCTTCCCAAGCGACTGAGTCCAACTTCCTCAAGCTATTGGCTTCAGAAAAAAGGAAGAAAACAACTCCGAAAAAGGGCTCGGTCCGGATTCCTCGGTGCGAGCTCCGAGCAAAATCCCCATGGAACAAAGCCCACACTTGGTCATCTTTTGGATCACCCCACCATTTGAGCCATATACGTAGATCCCATGGATACACGCAGTTCTCGTGGATACGCTGCTTTTAGTGAACCAGATGTGACTGAATCTTATTTGGCCAAAACTCCATATGCCAAGCATCATAGTTCCCTTTGAAACCTTCAACCAGCTTCCCTCCAATTGGTGGTTTGGATTGGTGGTTTGGTGGTGAAACGGAGTGGCTTTCCATTTACCCTCTTCAAAAGCCAGCGGCCAGCGGTGTCCAAACCACCAATCCAAACCACCAATTGGGGGCAAGCTGATTCAAATTGGTGTCCTAAGCCTATACTAGGTCCTCCAGTAGAGAGGTTAGAATAAGGGTACCTTTTTTTCTGTAGTCTATTTTAGTAGGGGAACCCTCCCCCAAAAAAGGGTAAAAGGGCACTACTGGGGGACCTGGATGTTCATTCGTTTCAAGAAACAATTCCCGTTTGGTTCCTTGAACTTCTTGTTTTGCTGCTTCCCTCTCAACGGACAGCTTTTCATGGTAAAAAAAAAAAAAACTTCTTCCGCATTCGTCAAGTAGGCGAAGCATTGGGGAATCTCTTGGGGACAGAAACAACTCTGACTTTGCCACAAAGTCTTCACTCCAAACGGGTGAAGCCTGCGGTTTCTCCAAGCGCCTTAAGCAAGTAGAAGCGACACGGCTTGCAGACTCCCAGCTCGTGGTTCGCCAGCATCCCCTTGGAGGGAGAATCCTCAGCCTGACCGAGACAAATCGAAGCTCTCTCGCCGCCAAGCTCGCCACTTTGTGAGTGATTCTGGGTCGGGTCTTCGCATCCTTACGCGTCCTAGCTCCACCAGCACTGCCTGTGCTCCCCCGCCAGGTGCCGGCCTACGTTGTGAACACTGCACGTACTACCTGCAGGCGTCATAATTCCGCGCCTGTACGCGCTGCTTGTTGCATGGTAGCAAAAATGTTGTTTGAGATATCCCAGCTGGGTTCTATCAACATGCATGCGGTTGTCGACCTCTCGATACAATAGCAAGTTCCAGTCCAGAAGCAATGGACACTTTGGAGGCGGCATGTTCCAACCTGAGTCGTTGAGTGCATGGACAACAAAGGCCATGGATCTATGTAGGTTACGGTCATGTTTCCCTTCAGTAGGAACACCTCCTAGGGAGTCCATGACCATTTCCACTGCACTTTGCCCTCGGGGGACAGTTCAACTGACGGAGACGCACAGAATTTGGCCCTGGCTCAGGCGGCCAAATTGTGACAAAGACTTGGCCTCCAAATGAGTCACAATCAAAACCTGGTACAAAAATGGTGAACCCAGAACCATGTAAAGAATTAGAAAGGCGGCCGCAACCATCTCCGGCTGGGACTGCCCCTTACTAACCTTCATCTACCCGGGTTTTGATTGTGGCTCAAATGCAGATCAAGCAGTGCTTTGTGCGAATTCGAACGCTTACAGTTTGCCCTCGACAAGGTCCAAGACAATAGGGCAAACTGTGCGAAACCCAAAGATGTTGGCCGCTGGTGCCCCAGCACCCCGAGTTCTCACTCTTTGGCGATGATGAATCTTGGGTGCTGTCGAGACCCCCCAGCAAAAAGTAACTTTTTTGCGGTTCCATGGAAACAAAGATCCAACCCAATAGCAATCAAGAAACGCAGTTCCAGTAGCGCTCTTGGAACCTTTTTCCAGATCTCCATGCCAAGCAGGCCGGGAAGACATGCGGGCGACAATGCCGAAACAACGGAGTTCGTCTCTAGGTCCTCCGGTAGAGAGGTTACGTAGAATAAGGGTGCCAACTTTTTGCTGTAGTCTATTTTAGTAGAGGAACCCTCCCCCAAAAAAGGGGAGAGAAGGGCAATACTGGGGGACCTAGGTCTTACAGTGGAACCTGCGAAAAAAACTTTTTGGCTGGCGTCCGTAGTTTGGTTCCCCTGCAACAACCAAAAGAGGTCCGCGAAAAAGCAAGAGAAACTAGACCACGGTTGGCCCGAAAGCAAAACATCGCAAGCGAGGTCGGCCCAACGCTGCATCCCTACACGAAGCATTTGTGAAGCAAGCGCGAGACAGCACCAGGCAAGGTGCTCTGCGCAAACTGGTCGGTGCAAGTTGGTCTGCGCAAGTTGCTCTACGCAAGTTGCACTGTGCAAGTTGCTCTGCGCAAGTTGCTCCGCGCAAGTTGCTCCGGCAAGTTGGTCCCTGCAAGTGGCTCCCTGCAAGTTGCTCTGTGCAAATTGCGCTCCCTGCAAGTTGCTCTGTGCAAGCTGCTCTGTGCAAGTTGCTCTGTGCAAGTTGCTCTGCGTAAGTTGCTCTGCGCAAGTTGCTCTAGGCAAGGCGCTCTGCGCAAACTGGTCGGTGCAAGTTGGTCTGCGCAAGTTGCTCTGTGCAACTTGCTCTGCGCAAGTTGCTCTGCGCAAGTTGCTTTAAAATGCAAGTTGCATCTTGCGACGCCCGCCCGCGGACCAGGGAGGAATCGAACCCGCGACCCGCCGGTTCCGGGAGCAGGCGCGCGAACCACGAGACAACTCCCGAGGACCAGTTCGAACAACAAAAGTCGCAAAAAACCTCGAGTTTTTGCACCTCGACCACGCCGATTCCCGCAGAGGGTTGCGCGAGCACAGCAGAAATCGCAAAAAACCTCGAGTTGTTGCACCTCGACCACGCCGATCCCCGCAGAGGGTTGCGCGGGCACCGCAGAAATCGCAAAAAACCATGGTTTTTGCACCTCGACCACGCCGATCCCCGCAGAGGGTTGCGCGAGCACCGCAGAAATCGCAAAAAACCATGGGTTTTTGCACCTCGACCACGCCGATCCCCGCAGAGGGTCGCGCGGGCATGTTGGAAATCGCAAAAAACCATGGGTTTTTGCACCTCGACCACGCCGATCCCCGCAGAGGGTCGCGCGGGCATGTTGGAAATCGGAAAAAACCATGGGTTTTTGCACCTCGACCACGCCGATCCCCGCAGAGGGTCGATTTTCGTGTAGTGTCGTCGGCACTACCCCGCCGCCCTAAGAAGAGATTTTAACTCCTCGCAAGTCAATTGCACTTGACTCCTTGCACTTGCAACTTGCACTTGACTCCTTGCTTGTTTCAAGGAGTCATTGCAAGGAGTCATTGCAAGGAGTCATTGCAAGGAGTCATTGCAAGGAGTCATTGCAAGGAGTCATTGCAAGGAGTCATTGCAAGGAGTCATTGCAAGGAGTCATTGCAAGTGCAAGGAGTGCAAGAGTCAAGTGCAAGTCGCAAGTGCACGGAGTTAAGTGCAAGTTGCAAGTGCAAGGAGTGCAAGGAGCCAAGTGCAAGGAGCCAAGTGCATGGAGTCAAGTGCAAGTTGCAAGTGCATGGAGTCAAGTGCAAGTTGCAAGTGCAAGGAGTCAAGTGCAAGTTGCAAGTGCAAGGAGTCAAGTGCAAGTTGCAATCCTTGCCATGACTCCTTGCAATGACTCCTTGCAATGACTCCTTGCAATGACTCCTTGCAATGACTCCTTGCAATGACTCCTCCTTGCAATGACTCCTTGCAATGACTCCTTGCAATGACTCCTTGCAATGACTCCTTGCAATGACTCCTTGCAATGACTCCTTGCTCCTTGCAATGACTCCTTGCAATGACTCCTTGCAATGACTCCTTGCAATGACTCCTTGCAATGACTCCTTGCAATGACTCCTTGCAATGACTCCTTGCAATGACTCCTTGCAATGACTCCTTGCACTGACTTTCATGATGATGATTCCTTGCAATGACACCTTGTAATGACTCTCATGAGAACAACTCAAGTGAACCCAGCGGAAGAACCCTTCGCCATGCTTTCGGGAACAAACAAAAAAAAGCACACCGGCCCGATTTCCCTTGGCCTTCAGCAATTCAGCCTTTCCGTAGCCGGAAAAATATTCCAGTTGCTCGGCGCCCGGAGAACCATTGAACAAGGAAGGGCCGTTGAGGGCCGAAATATCTGGTCATCTGTTTGCGGATTCCCCTTTTTAGGCTGCTTTAAAGGGAAACTAAAGTGAAAACACGCTTTTAAGGTCCCCAATTATTTTGACACGCATCTGAAACCACGGTCAGAACGGCGCAGGGCTTAAACACCCTTCTGCCCAAAAACAGCGAACAACCTTTAGAACATGCCCAACAGCATCAAATCCTTTTGCCTTTGAGTGGCAATCACTAAAGCTTGATTTCTCACAGGATACCGTTGTTGGTAGTTGCAGTCCCTTTGCCGTGTATTTTGCGTCGCAAGACGAAAAGCTTGATTGAGTTCGAATGTCTAAACACAAGTCCACCCGCACAAAGGCCGTGAAAGGTGGGAAAAACTCCAGCACGCCATTTTGTCCGCGGTGCCCGAAATCGTGGACCGCTAGGGGTGGTTCGTTGAACCGAACCTATCCCTGGATAAGCCAAGGATCCCCTCTTCGGGGTCGAAAACAATTTGGGGGCAATGCGGCAACGACATTGGCAAACAAAACGCCTGAGTCGCCGCTTTGGTGTTTGGATCTTTTGCAAAGATTCTCCCATGTGCCACCAAATGAACCATAGACTACTGGTATTGAGCAAAACCTCAATGGGGGGTTCTCAAAGGGAGTGTGAGGAAGGACGCGCCTCCGGGCGAGAGCCGTCGCTGCTGCTGTCTTGCATTAAGCCAGGGACAAAGCTCAGCTCTTCCGACGTGGTTGAGGCCTCACGGGGGGGGGGCCATCGGATTCCAATGCGGGTGGTTTTGGAGGCTCAGCACACATTTGACTCGGAAAAATTGAGGACCTGGAAACGGCGGTAAATTCTTTGTCCGGGTCCAAAGAGCTCCTTCCAACTGCAAACCCTGGGATTCAAACCACCATTGAAACAATGGTTGGGTTCATATGTAACCGCCATCATTCACCTAAGGATCTTCATCCAAATTGGGTCCCTTTGGGCATTTTGATGGGAATCGGTTGAACCCCAGGGGTACAGTTGACGAGACGAGTCCTTGGATATCTTAATCGATCGGAGCTCGGGCGAGTGGATTTGTTTTTCTCGCTTTTTTTGGAGTTGGGGGGGGAGGGGATCGAGGTGGGTGGGTTGGTAGGGATGGGCGATCATGGGGCATGTTTGACCCTTTAAGCCCTTTGGCGGATTTTTGGTTCTTGGAAACTCGAGTGACATCATGGTGGATCCACCCGCCGTTGAGGCAGGTGGTCTACTTTCTCTGCGCAGTTGAGCTGTGCAGAACGCAACTCGACTTTACCGGAAGAACCCTCAGGGATCCTTACATTCTACACCTGGACATTGCAATTTGTAAATGGTGGTTTCCCTTTTTTCTGGTGTTGGAAAAAGCAACATGTGTCAAATGGTTGCAAAATCAATTTCTTTTAAGGAGCCCTGACCCTCCGCAAAATCCACTCGGGCAGGTTGAGGCGCAGCGTTGCCCTCCGCGTTGGTATCCACGGTGCTCTCCGCACTTTTGGAGCTGTTCGAGTACCTCGCTGCTGGTGGACTGGACGCAAAGGTGCAATCGATCGCTGCGATAGGAAGGAGACATGGGGAATGAACCCCTAGAAACCAGCAAAGGGTACCCGCAAAAACCTAGCACTTCTTGTTGCTTGCTGCAACGACCCTTGGGCAGAAACTTAAACAACACTTGCCGTTGCGATGGGTAGGGAGTGAGGGAATGAACCCGGGCTTTGGTCGAAAGGGCGCTCAAACGCAGGCATCCGAACCGGGGACGTTCTGGTCATGATCGACCAGGCCGGACGGGCTGGGGACAACTTGGTGCGATAGGTAGGGAATGTGGGAATGAACCCAGGCTTTGGTCCCCTTGAAGGAAACCACCAGCAAGGGATGGTTCATAGGGCTCACTCCATCATTCGCTGCTGAGCACCATGGAACCAAAAACTAAAATCTGCAGTTGGCCCTAGCTCTTGAATTTTGAGGCACACCCATTTCGAGCAAGGGTTCAGTTGGCATAGGCATCTCGGACCCGCTTCGGAAAAAGAATGGGAAGCCTTGGGGTTATGTAGTTTGGAGGAACTTGGGGAATGTCACGAGGAAGCCATGTCCTCCAGAACACGGTTTGTCCATAGTTGCTTCTCAGGGGGGTCCTTCTTGGACTAGCTTTGTACATTGATGCTGGGAATTTGATCGGTTCGCCCAACAAGTACCAGGGACCACTTGAGCGAGGCAGGGACGACAGCACACGGAAAAATGGCACTGACGGGCAGCTATATGGTTTAAAAGGAACATGAGATATCGGTGAACAAAGCCCCCACAACTGAAAAGGAACAAACTCAACTGTCTGCGAATGTTTATGTTTCCTAAACCGGACTTTTCGGGACAGGAAACCTGCCCGAAATCTGGAGCCTTTTCTACTGACAGCTTCGCTTCCATTGGAATTAAGTTTCAAAGACCTGGCCCTGCGCAATCGCAGGAAATGGCCTTGTAAGCCAAAGCTCACCAGACCAACCGCCCACTGGTTCATCCAAAGACAATAGCATGGCCAGGTCCTCCAGGAGAGAGGATAGAATAAGGGTGCCCTTTTTTCTGTAGTCTATTTTCGTAGGGCAACTCTCCCCAGAAAAAAAAAAAGAAGGTAAAAGGGCACTACCGGGGGACCTAGATGGTGTTTCAGCACCAAAGGAGCAATTCTGGCCAACTTGTTTTGGCCCACCTGAAAGCAGCGCTTGGGTGCCTGATTCCATATGTTGTTTAAAACATGACATGACTTTCATCAATCAATCTGTTTTGACAGATACATGATTTTGTATATGTCGCCTGGCCTGGACAAGGGCATAAACTGGCTTCCAATGCGACAAGCATTCCTTTCTTGGGCTTTGCGCCAAGGAGCCCTGTCTTCGCAGTCGCGCGCTGACCGGAGCCACTGGAAGAGCTGCCCTCATCACTTTTTGCCTCGAAGCCGGGGTTTTCGGGGCTCCAGAAGGGAAACCTTCGGTTCTGAAAGCTCAGGGGACGCGGTTCTGAAAGTTCAAGAAACCTTCTGAAGCCCCCAAAAAAGAGTTTTTCCAACGGACCTGGGCTTCAGAAAGCAACCGGGTTCCTTGCCCCCAGAAAGGCCCAAGCGGACCCAATTTGCATGAGGGTTACATCCTGAAGGGTAGCTCATCGTGGTTATATGATGTTTTATGAACCCCCATTGCTTTAATGATGGATTGAACTCCAAGGATAAGGGGCGGACATGGAAACCACCAAGGGGGGGCTTCTCCACTTCGAGCATCCGAGGCTTCGGATCCAAGTCGATCCCGATCACCCCCAAGGGCCAACTCATTTGCCTGGCGAAGCAAGTTAGGTGGATCTCTCCAGGCCATGGCCAAACCTCGAAGTTGAACATTGCGATTCCAGGCAACCGAGAGGGCCACCATAGAAAAAGACAAATAGAACCTACGAACTAAAAAGTACATCACTTTCTCACACGCAAAAAGAGCTGCGAGCTTCGGACACAGGAGCTGCAGCGGAGACGCCTCTCTTCTCTTTTTGTTCTCTTCTTTCTTCTCTTCTCTCTGCCTTTTTTTGTTTTTGTCTTCTCTTCTTTTCTTCTCTTCTTTCTTCTCGTCTTTCTTCTCTCTTTTCTTCTCTCTTCTCTCTTCTCTCTTATCTTCTTTCTTCTCTGCTTTTCTTCTCTTCTTGCTTCTCGTCTTCCTCTTCTTCTTTTGTCTCTTGTTTCTTCTCTCTTCTCTCTTCTCTCTCATCTTCCTTCTTCTCTTCTTTCTTCTGTTCTTGCTTCTCATCTTCCTCTTCTTCCTTCTTCTCTTCCTTCTTCTCTTCTCTTTTCCCTCTTCTCTTCTTTTCTCTCCTCTCCTCTCCTCTCGTCTCTTCTCATATCTCTTCTCTTCTCCTTTCTTTTCTTCTCTTCTCTTCTTCTCTTTGCTGCCTTTTTTCTTTTCGTACTTTGGTACTTAAAAAGTGCAACTGTCGAGCTTCGGCTCTCGGAATATACTTCGCACACTACTTTCGTACTTAGAACATGCGATTTTCGAGCTGCAGCTCCCGGAATGCGCTGCGCGTAGTACATTCGTAGTGAAAACTGCGATTTTCGAGCTGCAGCTCCCGGAATGCAATTTGCATTCTATGTCGTACTTAAAATGCAATTTTCAAGCTACAGCTTTCGCGTGCTACATTCGTACTGACTCTCTCTCTCTCTCTCTCTCTCACTCCCTCTCTATCTCTCTCTCCCTCTTTCTCTCCCTCAGACGCTCTCTATCTTTCTCTCCTCTTCTTTCTTCTCTCTTCTCTTCTCCCTCTTCTCTCTTCTCTCCTCTCTCTTCTGTCTCTTCATTATCTCCTCTTGTCTTTCTTCTCTCTCTTCTCTGTTTGGTTCTCTTCTCTCTTCTCCCTTCCCCCTTCTCTGTTCTAGCTTCTCTCTCTCTCTCTCTCTCTTTCTCTCTCTCTCTTGTCTCTCTTATCTCTTCTCGTCTTCTCTCTCTCGCTCTTTTCTATCTTCTATTCTCCACTCACGTCTTGTGTCTCTCTTGTGTCTTCTCTCTTTAACCTCTCGCTTCTCTCATCTCTTCTCTCTTATCTCTTCTATCCGCTCTGTTTTCTTTTCTCTGCTTCTCATCATTTGCTTTCTTTCTTCAACTCTTTTCTCTTCTCTCTCTCTCTCTACTCTCTTCCTCTCTCTTCTCTCTTTTCTTTCTTCTCTCTTCTCGTCTTCGCTCTCTCTCTCTCTCTCTCTTCTCTATCTCTATTCGCCTCTCACTTATTCTGTCTCTCTTGTGTCTTCTGTCTTTTAACTCATCTCTTCTCTCGCTTCTCTCGCTTCTCTCATCTCTTCTTCTCTCTCTTCTCTCTTCTCTCTGCTCTCTTCTCTCTTCTCTCTTCTCTCTCCTATCCTCTCGGTTCTCTTTTCTCTGCTTCTCTCATCTTTTTCTTTCATTCTTCAACTCTTTTCTCTTCTCTCTCTCTCTCTACTCTCTTCCTCTCTCTTTTCTCTTTTCCTTCTTCTCTCTTCTCGTCTTCTCTCTCTCTCTCCTTTCTATCTTCAGTTCGCCTCTCACTTCTTGTTTCTCTCTTGCGTCTTCTCTCTTTAACGTCTCTCGTTCCTTTGTTCTCCATTCCCTCTCTTCTCTCATCTCTTCTTCTCTGTGTTCCCTCGTCCCCCTTCTCTCTTCTAGCCTCTCTCTTCTCTCTTTTCTCTACTTATTTCATCTCTTCTTCTTTCAACTCTTTTCTCTTTTCATCTCTTCTCTTCTCTCTCCCCTCTCTCTCTCTCTCTCTCTCTCTCTCTCTCTCTTCTTTCTGTTCTCTCTTCTCTCTCCTTTTCTTCTCTCCTCTCTTCTTCTCTCTTGTCTCTCTCCTCTCTCTTCCCGCTGTCTCCTTTCTATTTGTTGTCTCTCTTCTTCTTCTTCTTCTTCTTCTTCTTCTTCTTCTTCTTCTTCTTCTCTCAAGCCTTCTTCTCTCTTCTTGTATGTTTCTTCTCTCTCTTGTCTCTCTTGTCTCGCTTCTTTTCTCTCTGTTCTTTCCTCCCTCTCTCTCTCACTCCTTCTCTCTCTCTCTCTTGCCCTCTCTCTCTCTCTCTCTTCTATCTTCTCTCTCTTCTCTCGCTTCTCTCTTTTCGCTCCCTTTCTCTTCTAACATATATCTCTCTTCTCTTCTTCTCTCTGCTCTTTTTCTCCTTTCTCTTCTTCGACCCCTCTTCTCCCTTCTCTCCTCTTCTCTCGTCTCTTCTCGGCTCTTCTCTCTTCTCTTTTCTCTTCCTCTCTCATTTCATCTTCTCTCTCCTTAAACTCTCTTCTCTTGTCTCTCTTCCCTCTCTCTCTCTCTCTCTCTCTCTCTCTCTCTCTCTCTCTCTCTCTCTCCCGTCTCTCTCCTTTCTCTTCTCTTCTCTTTCTTTTCTCTTGTCTCTTCTCCCTTTTCTCTTTTCTCTTCTTCTCTCACCTCTTCTTCTCTCTTCTGAATGTGATTTTCTCTTCTCCCTCTCCTTTCTTTGTGTCCCTTCCCTTCTCCCATCTCTTCTCTTCTCTCCTGTCCTCTTCTCTCCTTCCTTCTCTTCTCCTCTTCTCCTCTTCTCCTTTCTTATCTTCTGCCTTCCCTTCTTCCATTCCTTTCGCTTTTGGAAAGTACGATGTTTCCCGTGGGTTGCTGCCATACCGATTGCAGGTGGTGCTCGGTTGCTGTTGAGATGCGGCTGGTGTGGTGTTTCATGTCTGGTTGCGTGAATGGCGCCGCATGCTATGAAACTCCTGAGGCAAATAATGGTTTTGTTAACCCGACCGTTGTTTTAATGGCGGTACCTGAGCAGCAGGGCAAATTATTTGGTAGGCACAAAACGCCAAGACCGGAAAAAACAACCCAAAGAGTAACCAACATGAATGTTTTAATTGTTTTAACCAACATGAATGTTTTAATTGTTTTAATCAGGGTAATGGTTGTTTCCCAGAATTTGCAGGGGCCCATCCATCCGTCGAGGCGCCCAGCTCGGTGACTTCACCCCTTGCCAGCTTCGATGTCTCGATCCCGATGCGGATGCCGAGGCGTTGGAGCTATTCGGGTTCGTGTCGCCATTGGCATCCTCCTCACAAAGACACGCACAGAATTGGACTCAGCTTCCCTCGGATTGGTGGTTTGGAGACGGGATTTGTTTCCCACTTACCCTCTACAATTCCAGGGCTTCAAAATTCCAACCACCAGTCCAAACCACGAATAAGGGTTGTGTGAGGACTGGCTGTCCACCGGCCATTTCGAGCCAGGCCATGTCAAAAATACAAATTTCTCCCCCCAAGGCAAGGGTCAATTTGGATTTGGGGCAGTTGTTGAATTGTGTGGGAGATTCGTCACTGAGCTGCGCGGTGCCCGGCAAAATTGCGTGACACCGGCAGATAGTCCGCGCGACAGCCCGCAGGCAAAAGCAGCCAGATATGGCCAAAAGGGGCAAGGACGACCACTTAGCATGGCAAGGGCACTCTGCGGATCCTGTGGCAGAGACAGCCAATCACTCGTGTATTTCACAAACACCCCTGCGGGTATCACAACAGACATTGTATCACCTCCGCTGGAGTGGCCGTTGCGCCTCCTGAGCGGCTGCATACCAGAAAAGCCACAGACGACAGGCCGGGGTGCACTGCATAATACCCGCGCAACCACGCTGAAGGACCAAACCTGGAGCTGAGCCAGTATACAATGCACATAATTGTAGCCACTTGCCTCGCAGCACTTGAACAATCATGAGCAGAACTGTGTTCAGCACCACGTGTACGCAATGGACATGACGTAGTCTGGGCAGTGAACGGACGCACCACCACAAACTGGCCAATGCCATACCCGCATATCGCTCCTTCTCCAGTAGGTTTGTGATAGCCAGGACAGGATGCGAGGAAAGCCACTGACTGAAACATTGACAAAATCATAGGCGACATAAAAAGCAGCAAGACCAGCCCCATTCCAGTTGAAATCAAGCCCACAATGCAGACCTCCATAACCACCCGAACCATCACCAAGATGTCCACCACGGACAAGTAGTTCCTCATTAAATCACCAAGGCATAGTCGACCACGGCGTCCAAAATTGGTCGAAACAGCACTACCAGCCGGAAGGCTCTCGGGCCAAGTGTGGGTAAGACTTCAAAATGATTTGAACAAAAGCGCTGACACCCACATGGACCCCCTCAAAACCCCAGAGTCAAACTTGCCAATGGGCTGCTCTCACAATGAGGGAGGTCCGCTTTGGCTCCGCTTGAACCCAAAAACGGCCGAGGCTCCAGCCAGAAAGAAACATTTCCAGGGAATCTTGAATCCAGTTTGAGTTCGAATCTACCTCTGTCCTATTTCTATTTTGTCAGAAAATGCAAAACAACAGCTGCGTTGGAGCCATTGGCAAAAAAAGCGGACGAAGCCTCAAAGAACTCAGCAACACCTGCGATTATTTCACGTCTTTAAACGCCGATCGCTCCATGTCGCGCGTAGCACATCCAGAACCGCCGGAGTTGCTACTCGAGTCATTGGAACGGGGAGAGGAGTTGGTGAGCAGGTAGGTCCGCACGGAGCACACCTGTCCAAAATGAGAGCCTCTCAACGTATAAAGATAACATATGGGGAGCACCTGGACAGAATGAAGTGATTTTTGGTTTCTGGTGGGGTGCAGGATTCGGTTCTGGGAGCTGCCCCTTTAGGGGCCACTTGGCATCCAGAAAGTTGGTCACCCCAAAATGGGGCGAGGTCCTCCAGTGGAGAGTTTCGAATAAGGGTACCAGATCTTTTTCTGTTTTCTGCAGTTTTTTTTTTGTAGGGGAACCCTCCCCCAAAAAAGGGGTAAAAGGGCACTACTGGGGGACCTAGGGGGTACCCTGACTTCAATGAAACCAAGAAGTAAAACCTGCGCTTATCTAGTGGGTAACCATTTTGACCCATACCATTTGTGTCCAACTACTGATTGCAGGTGTCCAATGAAGTAGTCTAAGGACCATGTAACCAGAACAAAGGAGTCGTCCAGAGGGAACTCCCCAACAAAATGCGGAGAAAAGGGGGGAGGCTTTTGGGCTTCCTTTGAAACACCCGCCAAAAAGGCTACTCAATGCTGGACACGCCTCCTCCGCCCCGCCCCCTCCCCCCCACCGGTTATCATGCTTGTGAAACATCCTAAGATGGTGCGGTGTGTGTGTTACATTTGTTGCGCGACCCTGCCTGCTTGCCCTCGCGTAGGAATCTCTGGTAGGCCCTTCCTTCTCGGTCTGCTCCTGAGTCAAGCAAACCAAAACAAATGGGGGAATGCAAGCCTGGCAACCATGCTCCTTCCGGGCAAAAGCCAAACTTGTTAAAGCAAAGATCACCCCCCCACCTCATTACCTGCAAACCCTTCGAGCCACTCCTCGCTTTTTGAGTGGAATCGGATTGGCCCAAAGTCTGAACTTTCAGTCTACCACCAACATGGTCTTCCACAAACGTTTGAAGCCCAGAAACTAGAGACTCAGTGAGACTCTTCTGAACTTCTCCCATCGAGTTGGAAGGCAACCCCAATACTACCGCCTCCAAATTGATTGCTAGGGCAACGGGATGTCTGCCTTGGTTTGAACAACCAACGGTCTACAGCCACGACCCGAAGCCCTGAGAGATCAACCACGAGCAAGCCCCGCCACGCAACACGCCCCTCTCTGTTTGCGGATATGGTCAAGTACCTGGACCATCGCAACGTCTGCTGTTGCACAAATCGCCATGAGCTTAAACAGCGACCTGCCTAATAAGTGATTGCTGGATACGAATCCCCACCGAATTGTGATGTCCAACGGGTCTTGAATCAAAACTGATGCCCGAATTGAGCTTAGGCGTGTTTGTCGCATTCCTTTGGTTCTCGCGCGGCTTCGGGCCTTTAGAGACGTCGTGTTCGGGGAGTCTCCCGGACAAGCCAAGGAGCAACATGAAACTCAAAACGAGCGTTTCACACCAAGCTCGAAACATGTAAAATCCATTGCAGAGCGTTTTGTTTTCGCTAAGGCGGACAAAAACCGGGAGTCATTAAAATCAAGCGCTTGTGTGAGGCCAAGGTTCGAGCAGAAATACATGGTAGCACACTTTGACGTATCAATGGAGGGAACAGGTAGGTGTGTTTTGTGGGACCCGTTCTACCTTGGTTTAAGGGGAACAACAACTCCATTCGGGGGGTGTTGACACATTCCAGGTAGCAGGGGTGTGGGGCTGCTTGATTTCCTCAGGGTTGCAAGTAGGCTATATAACATATTTTGTACATAAACTATTGATACATATATACATATATATATATGTATCTACACACACACAAACACGCTATCTTTTGCCTTGCCTGCATTCTACGGGCACTCAACCCACAGCGGGCTAGGATTGGCGGGCGCGAGAAAACCCGACGGCAACAGAATCCCTGAGAGTCCTTTGGCACCTGGTGGGTTTTTCCAAAGGGTCATTTGGATATGGGTCTAAATTAAGCCAGGGCGCATTTTAGTCTGGAACCATTTATCAGGGTTCCATTTTGGGTACCTATTTTTGACCCGCAGCCATTTGGTACCTTGGAAGCCTTTTGGGAAACTTGCCCGGCACGAGATCCATCACCCCAAAACGCGAGTGTGTCAACTCGCCCACGCCGGGATTTCGGAATCCCTTTCTGGTACCGTTTAAACGAGCCCTGACAGTTCGCTCGTACCGCCGGAGAATTGTGAGCCCCATCTGACTTTTGCGTCGCAACATGCATCTGCTTGTTTACACTCATGCCAAAACCTGAAATAAGCATTGGGTCCCAAGACACCCAAAAAGGAGATCCTGCCGCAAAACAGAAAAAAACACCTGGAAACCACATGGCCACGGGCTTGTCAAAATCCAAATCGGTTAGCCCCCAATGAACCTCCGATTCAATCCAACCACTAAAATAAAGCCGAAAAAATGGGTGGTGAATTCACCGAATTATCCAAACTGGGATCCCAAAATGGTTTTGACCACCACCATGGAACATGGATCCCCACTGCTTCTCCCGGCTCGCTTCGATCGAGGGCCTGCAGCTCGACTCGCGGTCGCGGTGTCCACGGGCACTGCCAGCAACTGCTCCTCTCCTTCCACAAAAAGTAGGTGATGCGACTTGCTCGCCATGACCTGGGCGCCGTTTTTTTGTTTTTTGGTTTGTGTGTGTGTGTTGTTTATTTTATAATATATATATATATATATATTGTTCTCGGCTTAAACTTGGCGCGGGGCTGTGGGAAACGGAAGCCACTTCCGAGATACAACCAGAAGGGCTTCCCAAACACTAACCTCCCCATAACAAGGGGAAGATTCCCGTGTATCACAGAAGTGGGGATAACCCTCTTGATCCCAAACCCTGGTTTAAAGGGAAACCAACAAGAACACCTGTTCTTTGCCATCTTGGGGTTTCCCGAAACCCCTGGTTTGACGCATACCCGCCTGCGAATACGTGCAATTTTGTGTGAAATAAACAGTTTCCCCTTCCTACCAGCTTTCAAGCAAATGACTGGCTTGATTTGCTTTTAAGTGGGGACAAAGCTCGGCTCGCCCAAAGTGCCAAAGAGTTTAACATGTTTAACAGTCGAAGCAAGAGCAACCAAGTAGCCTCCGCAGAGCGGCAAGACGCGGCCAAGTTTTGTTTGAGCCAACTCACCTGAGAGCGAAAACTCCCACGCAACGGAACAAATGGGTCGGTTTTTCTGGGGTACTTGCCCCTTTTCGGTTGGCTTTAAAGGAAAACCAAGAGGAAAACCAACTTTGGGGAGGTCCCCTAAAAAAAGACAAACCCAAATGAAGCTCTGTCTGCCAGACCTAGTCACCGAAGCCAAGTTGCAGCGGCAATCTATGTGCTCGCGAGAAATGCATCACGAAACCCAGCAAACGAGCGGCATTTGCCAGCTGCTTCGGCAATGATACTGTGGATGGACGAGATTCATTTCGCACCACCTAAGAAACCCGGGTTTCTGATGATTCCCCTGTGAATGCCTCAGCAAGCACTGGTTTCAACCATGGGTTCAGTCTGGTGCGAAATGGATTCCGTCCACAGCTCAAACTGCCATGGTTCAGCCTGCCGAAGAGGAAGGTCAAGTTGATCCGACGCTTCGTGTAGCCTCGGATGCCGAGCTGCTAGCTGGCGCTTCGCGAACACACGGCCCAAAGAGCAAACAAAAAACAACTTGGAATGAAACCTCACGAAAAGCTGGAATGCCTTCTTGCATGTGTGTCTTCTCGCCCTGTGCCTCCGTCTCCCCCAAGCAAAGCGACGCAAAGCGAAGCATGGCTGACATTCTCCACTGCCTACTTGCACGTTCTGCCCCTTTCACCCCTTCCGTCGAATTGGCCGTTTGGAGACTCTTGCCGGTTGCATATACTCACTTCCTGAGTGAATTGACCAGACAAAGTCCAAAGTGCTTATTTACGACTAAAATGATAAAGTCCATGAACTCAGGAAGTGAGTGCAGTAAGTCAACCGCGCATGCGTTGCAAATGAGGAACATTTGCCCACTTGCTATACTGTGGAGTTCGACCCCTTAGGTAAATCGTGGTGGTTATATAAACCCCCATTGTTTAGTGTTGGTTGAACCGCAGTGCCATTCTATGAGAAACATTTTTTGTATAAGTACGGTACACACGATAAACTTTAGCAGCTCCAGCTCAAACATCGAACTTTCCCAGCTTGAACCGAGGGATTTGGATGGCGCCACATTTTCGGGGAAGATCCTCGTGTCCCGGCCTGGCCGAAAGTGGGGGCGCTGCGTCTCATGGAAGAGGTTGCTGTTGAAGAGCACCTAAGATTTGGTTTAAACAAAAAGCTCAGGGCGTGTTTTGTATATCTATATATATATATATACATTATTATGTTTTTACACATGACAAACAAAAGTTGCAGTTTGGGGGGGTTGGAACCTCCTTTTGAAGCTGGGAGGTCCCTCTAAGGTCCAAACATCCACCAACTAGAGGTAAGGTGGTGGAGGTGTGAAGGGTGCATCCCTCGAGGGTGCATCCCTCAGGGTTCAAATCCTGCCGCCAATCCAAACAACCAAGTAGAGGTTGTCTGTGCGTGCATTGTGAATAGGGCCCCTTTTCTGTTCAGTACAGAAGATTTGCATGGTGCGTGGATCTTTGCAGTGCGGATGACACGCACAAATCGAGGCATGAGCAGTAGAGTTGAAATCCTGCAGCCACTTGAAACCAAGGCATAGAAAAAGTGCCTTTCTTTCCTGTTTCAACACCCAATGTGGCATGAAATCGAATGCGGCTAGTGCCCAGCTGTCACCTTCAACCTCAGACTTGGAACCCCAAAACCCATTTCGGACGGTCCAATGGGCTACGATTGGACTCCGTTTGGCCATGTTCAATGCTTTTTTGATAGGCAAAAACACCTTTTGAAGCCTCAGCTTTGAGGCCTTCAGGCGACCACTGCTGAGTCATGTAAAACCTGCGAGGGGAAGCTTTCCCATTCTCGGGGTTCTTGGGCTGTCTGTTTTCAGATCCCCCGCTAAAAGTGACTAACGTTTACTGGGTTAAATGGAAACTACCACTAGACACTAAAAGGCTGAAAGGCTAAAAGGCTAAGGAACCGGATGGCTGGGCTGGCCACCAAGGAAGTTCTTGGCTAAGTTACGTTGATCCCTGTTTAACCCCTCAAGAACCGTCCTCGAAGGGTAGTCAGGGCAGGGCTTTGACATTCAAGCAGTTGGATGTTACCCCAAGGACCAGGAAATCATAAACTTCAAACCTTTGGGAGAACCAGACATAGACCAATGGAAGTTGAAAGGTCAAAGAATGTCGTTGTATTCTGCCTCAGCTTTGCCTACGCAAAGGCGCCCCTCTGGATTCTAAAGGAAAGTCGCCAATTGGACCCAAACTGTGTTGGGGTTCCTTTAGTTTCCTTTCAAAATTAGACCGGAAAACAACAAGAAGTTCCTTAAAAACAAAAAAACAACAAAAAACAAGATCCAACCCGCGTTCGACAGGGCGCCAAGCGATTCTGCCGGTGCGGTATGTGGATCTGCTCGCTGTCCTTGAGGTACTCCTGGAAATCCGATATGGCGCACGGGGTTTGGGTGGGAAGCCCTCTGCAAAAACTTCCGATTTCAGACGTTGGAGGTGGTTGTTGCATACAGCTGGGTCGCAATCAGACAGCTGGTATGCAAGGAATAAGGTGGAAGTTTCACTTGCAGCGTCTAAGGCATCCACTGCAGCAGGTTTCCCAACTTTCTCTAGACCAAGCTGGTGGTCGAACCAGGAGGCAGGTGAAGGGCTCACTAGAGACACCACCGCAAGAGACGGGGAAGCCTTTGACAGAGTCTATTAACATGTTAGGTTGGTGGGCTCTAAGTAGTGAATCGGCAACTAAGTGCCGAAATCTCTCTTGCAAAAAACACTGCCCTTCCCAGTGAATCCATTTACCTGTACAGCAGGTAACCAAGAGAACCACCCTTTAAACACTAATGATAGGAACATGGCTGGTTACCTACTAGCGAAACTGGGATCTGCGCTTTGTTTGGCGTTTGCCAACAACGAGTTCTCCGCATATTCGGCGGATTCGGATCCGCTAGCAAATCTACGGCCCCGGCCTTTCAAAAGGCCTCCGAAAGGAGAAAAGAAATCGTCCAAAAGCTCGGGAAGACCAAGGCTCTGGGAAATGCTGCCCTGCAGATTAGCATGGAACCCCCAACAAACCATCTTTTTTTTTGCGGAAAACAAACCTATCATTGCAAAGTGGCTGGATTCCCCTTCACAGCTTGTTTCCCACATGCCCAGTAGCCCTGGCCAAAATGAGAACCCTGGACCACTTGTAGTGGGCAACCCCTCAAACAAACAGGTTGAACAAACGGTCCTTGAGCGCTTCCATCTAGTAAAAGCACTCGGACGGGTTTCGGCGGTCGGCCCCTGAGTTTTTTTCTTTGGCTCCACAGGAGCTATCTCGCTTGAGTGGAGCGGAGCTTGAAGTCCAGACTTGACCCAACTCTTAGACGCCCTTCAAAAGAGATACTCTGGATGTGCGGTTGTCTTTTTCCCGACAGAAACCCGGGTTTGGGGGGTGGTTTTCATTGGGACGCCAAAGGGAAACCACCCATTTCCCCCCCAAAAAAAAACAAGAAACAAAAACAAAAAACACCGCCCAGCGCCTGAATCTTTGGCACTTGGTTCAGCGAGTTGTAGTCGGCAAAGCCCCAGTCCCGGGGCGCTTGCTTGGTGTAAACAATGAGGCCGCCGCCTCGGTATCAACTAAGGGTTTAGGGTTTGGGGTTTAGGGTTTAGGGTTTGGGGTTTAGGGTTTAGGGTGACTCTGGAAGAAAACAAATTGGAACATGACTCGAAAGGTAGACAAGGAATTGCAGCCATAGTTGTTTGCGCCTCACGAGCTGATCAACTGGGGTTGGTGGGTTGGAGTTGGCCCTTCAACGATGTAACAACCAAACCCAGACTTTGGTTGCTTTCACCTGGCCTGAAGGAAGAACAAGCCCCTGGTGTCCTGCCTTGCTGGTTGGATCTCTGTTGACAACTCCAGGGACAACATCGGGAGTCACAAAGTACATATGTGAATATATACATATATATGCATGTCATGAAAATTCATTGTCCTATGTATATATACACATACTTGTTGCAATATATCAGAACTTACTATCATGTCATATCATATTATATCACATGTATCATAGTTTGTCATATTGCATTATATCATGTTGTGTAGTGTAACGCAATAGATTAGCATCATATTATATTTGCTATTGCACTCTTATATTGTATTACATTACACTATACTACGTTACATTAAACCAGACTATACTATGTAATGGTATGCTATAACATACTATGCTATCCTAGACTAGACCGTACTACACTAGACTATACAACTAAACCCCATGCCGGACTATACGGGTGTGGGTCAAGAATAGGTACCGAAAATGGGGCCCTGCCAACTGGAAACATGGACTAATTCCTGCGGTCCCCTGGTGGTTTGTTTTTGACCCATACAATATGATACAAGACTATACGATTCAGGCACACAGGCAAGGGTAATCGGGGCAAAAGTATCCTCCACCGAGGTGCCGTCGGGGTCCTCGTTCGCCTCGTCGCCTGGCGCAACCAACCAAATTGGCCGCAAATACCTGATTGACTCATGCTCTTCGCTTCATATTGGCGTCACTTTCAGTGACTGCAAGCAAACAGAAGCAAGCATTTGGCATAAGCTTACTTTGTCAGATTCATGCTGGTGCTTTCTCAATTGCTTGGCTGCATGAACCAGTACTGTCGTGTCTGCCAGCTTGCTGGAGGTAGCAAGCTGGCCGGAGGTAGCAAGGACGGGGCTGGGCTCTATGCTCGCTTCACCCCTGGTTTTGGCACCACTATCAAACATCCACTGGGCTGTCCCCAGATCCCCTGCTAAAGGTATCACCTTAGTGGGTTAAACGGAAACCCCCACTAAACCAACTAAAAGCCTAGCCTAAGGAACCGGACGGCTGGGCTTGCCACCAAGTCTAGTCTGGAATTGATTTGGGTGTTGCCTTGCACACATGAGTCACAATCAAAACCCGGTACTAAAATGGTCGACCCAAAACCATGTAAAGAATTAAGAAGGCGGTCGCTTGCTAACCTTCATCTACCCAGGCTTTGATTGTGGCTCACATGCGCTTTAGGCAGGCATGTCCGCTTCTCTGGCTTACGGGCGGCTCCCCAATCCTGAATCCTAATCCATGCTCCGTGAAAAACTCCACAAGGGAAGCCACCGGCAGAAGGAATCAGTATATATGGGGACCCCAAAATGGCTTGGTTTTCCTTTTGGCTTCCCTTTAAACCCACAAAGTTGTGCCCTCAAACAAAAAAACAAGACACCTCCAAATAGAGCTTGAGCACAGCTTCTTGCAAGCGAGCGTCTGGTCAGCCAGAGGTTGACGTTGACCGCTGCGACGTCCGCATGCACGGCGGTTCCTTCCAAAGGCCAATCTGAGGCGTTGTTGGAGTACCTGAGCGAGCGGCCAATGTCTCAGTCAAAGGCTGAATGTATACGTCTGTATATGAACCCCCGGTATGAACCCCTACTTTATGGGTTATCGACTATTCTTTATGGCTTCAAAATACGGGACATCAGGCTGATTGTATAGGTCCATACATAAACCCATGGTCATTTTGGACTCTTTTGGGGCTGATTTCCCATAAATCCCAGGTATGAACCCCTAGTTTACGTGTCGTTTGACCATTCGTTCTGGCTTACTTCTGGTTGAAGTCAGCCCCAAAAGGGTCAGGAATGGCCATGAGTTCATATATGGACCTATACAATCAGCCTTTAAGTCTCCGGCATTTGGACACAGCCTGGGTCAAGTCCCCTTACTCCCCCCCCACTCCCCCACGAAGCACACTTCTCCAGCTTTGGGATTTGGCCGTTTGGCCTTCCCCAGGTCTCCATGTGATGGACACTGGCCATGGTCCTGTTCCCTTCTCCACATACCCGGGTGTTCCAAATATGGCACGGATGCGGCGTCAATACACGGCAAAACCAGTTCACCCTGGACCACAAATTCAAAACCCATTATCAAAGCATGGGTGGTTGCATCGAATCCACCTCCCAAAACTTAAGGCCACCGATGGTGGAAATGATGCTTCTCCGAAATCGCAATCCTAAGTCCTAAGCAAGCGCCCAGACTTCCAAGCGCATGAATTAAATGGCCGAGGTAACACATAGGACCTTGGAAAGGCCTTCTTTTCGATGGTTTGGGGAGGGTGATCACTTTCCGTCGTGGCAACTTATCACTGCAAATGGCGACCACAATTGTTGGAGCAAGGCAGCGTGCTTATACAGCATGCTTCGGATCAGAGTGCGCAACCACGGATGCCAATAAAACACATGGGGCAACTCTTGCCAGATGAACGCATATTGGGCTGCTGCCGCTCTGCGGAATCGAAATTGAATCCTGAAGAAAACTCAAACAGCTGCGTGCAAAATATGTCCGCTCTGCTGCAAATACTGTCCGTTCTACGGCCGCCAATGCCCGTTCTACGGCAAACAATGTCCGTTCTACGTCAAATAATCTCCGTTTATGTTTTTGTCAATGGGTTGGCCGCGGTTGGTCAATATTCGTCAACAGTCCACCCAAAATCCGTTGATGAACATAAGATGCCGCAGTGCCAAGCTTATGGACCCGGTTTGTCTCATTGCATTGCCCCTTCCCCTGTGAAATGACTGCATGGTTTCAGCGAGTGTTGTGTTTCGGTGCTCCATGGTTTGTCTACGACCAAGTCTCTGAGTCCAGGGCCCCCCAAAAGCCAGAACATATAGAGCCGCTGACCCGACTCTTGTGTTAGGAGACTTCTTGGAATCAATACTAAACCAAAACTTAACCAATACTCCGCCAACATCCAACACATTGCACTGATTTCTGAATTCACTGCTCGGGCGTTGCCGCTTTGAAGGATGTGTTGGGCCCGGAAAGGGGCACCTCAAGTGGACCAGCGCCGAAGAGGACCCCTCGATGCTGAGAAGTGATACGTTGCTTTCCCCAAAAATAAGGTGCATCAAAACTGGGCTGCCCGTTTTCTGATCCCCTGCTAAAAGTTCATAACTTTGAGCGGTTTAAATGGAAACATACCACTAAACACTAAAAGGCGAAAAAGCTAAGGAACCGGACGGCTGGGAGCCACCAAGAAATGGAAGCGAGACCTTTTCTTGAGGGGACAGGATTACTTCCTGGATCCGAGCTTCAAGCAATCTCTTGATTCCTTAATATCAAGCTCGGGATTTGGCGGATGCCCCTTTGCAACATTATTAAGTGAAGGAGCCTCGTGTCAATCGCCCATATCAGTCAACTCATGCAGTTTTGTCAGGTTCTGTCTTGCATCCAATGCCAAATTGCAGAAGACCCACTAAGGTCAGTTCGACAGAACCTCCCACTACTTCGGGCGTCGAAACTGCTATGAGTATGGTTGTATCTCCACATGTTGCAATGACTATTTACTGGCAATTAAAAGAAAGAACCAGAGAGGTAATTAAACACTTCCACCTACCCAGACGCTCCCGATTGTCAAACTTCCAGGTCTTGAGACCCCAACCCCCCCCCCTGAGGTGTCCAATGCAGGGTCTGGGTCTTAGGAAGCCGAAGCCAGCTGGGAAGAAACAGACCCATCCAAGAGCACTTGAAGGCCCACATGTTCATGAGCTGGTGCGGCCTGGCGAACTTCGCGAGTGTTGGCACGGCTGGCCTTGCATGTGCCGGAATCGGGTACGGCATGCTGAATTTTAAGAGTCCCGGGTCTAAGCCCCTAACAAGCTCGAAAAGGGTACTTTGCCGGGACCCCCCCTCAACTTCGAATGCAAAAAAAAACGGAATACTTTGCCGGTGCATCTTAACCTGTTCACCCTCAAAAAGCGATCCAACAAGGGTACTTTGACGGGATCCTCTGGAAGTGATACGCTAAAGACAGAGGGCCGACACAATTCTCTTTAACAGGCCCAATCAGGACATGTTTTGGCGTTTGGAGCTGTGGATGCCATCTAGACAGGTGCGCCGGGCGCTTAACAACAGCCCTTGGCCCAGGAAAAAGGGCAGCCAGGAATAAAGAAGGCTGCGGCTCAAAAAACCGGAACTCCAAAATGGGTTGCCCTGGGTGGAAACATGGACCAACACCCGCGGTTTGCCCCTCCGATCGTTTGATTTTCAGCCACACCCACATGGAGACAACAAGACAGGCAAAGGCCGGGGATTGCAGGGCCTTGTCTGCCTGGGAACGGACACTTTTCAGTGGAAAAGGCCAAAGAACGCTTAGGATGGAAACGAGTGCTCGTTGGTATACTGATCTCGGTGGAAAAGTGGGCCATGGTGCCGCTTCCCTAAACTGTGATGGCCAGAAATACTTTGGAGTCGATAACCAGCCCTAAACTTAAAGGGCTGTTTTGGCCATGGCACATGAGCTAAAAAGAATCGCTCAATGGTCGCCCTGAGTACTCGAGTACAAGCAAGCAACCTCAGAGGATCGCTCCGACCCTGCGGAATGGCGTTTGAGGGGTTGGGCATAGAACCTCCTTAGGGTACTTGGCGCCAAGCTGTGTCGCGGAGTCCTTTGTTGGTTGAAAGTAGATCGTCGATGGCGCGATTTCCCCACCCTTTTGGTGTCATCCCTCTTGACAGGAAAGAACTTGTGCCATCTACTCTCACCCAGGGCCCCTTACTTGGATGTTCAACTTAGAAAGGGGTGGGGGTATATTACAAATGGGGCAACAGGGGTTGGTGGAAGTACAACCGTGGTCATAAAAGCTAAGTGCGCTGATCATCCAAGTATGGACGTCCTTTGCCCTTCGACTCACCGCGCCCAGTAATGACCACCCTGTGGTTTCCCCGGAATTATATTGAGCAACTCATCTCACTCAGGACGGACAGCCTTTCCCGGCTTTGGCAGTCGACGCACCAATGAAACACGTGGGTGTTTCCAAGAACAAAGGACCCCCTACAACGGGGTGGCTTCTCGTTGATTTCTCTTTGAAAAAGAGTCCAAGAAGGGGGGTCTTGTTTTGGGACACCCCCGCAGAAACGGAATCCAGGCATTCCCTATAATTCCTTGGTGTTTACACCCCTCACATTTGCGACATTTGGAAATAATTCTATCTGTGACACCAAAGTGGGCCATCCCTGCAGGCTGCGACTAAGTTGCCAGGTTTCCGTTGGTATCACAGAACATGTCCCTAAAACCGAGCTTTGCACACTTGAGGAGCGGGTGAACGAAAGCTAGCAGTTGTTGCATGAGATGGGTCGGTGACAGAGTGGATTCAGAGGTAGCTTGTGTACAACGAGAGGCCCGGCAAGAGTCGTAGGATGCGACACGCAAACGCACATGGTAGCGTGGCAAACAACGAGAGGCGTCAGAAGCTGTCTTAAAGCACCTCTGGGTTCTGCATGCTGCGTGTCCAAAGATTCTTCCGAGGTGGTTTACTGAGAAGAGTGAGGTCTCAAATGAACAAGCTGAATCGGTGGAACGTGTAAAAGTTCATAACACCAAGTCCAAAACGGGCAAACCGAGACTGCTGAAACACTGAGCCACTGCCAGGGGGGAGGGGTGGACCAAGGAGGAATCGAGCCTGAGAAGCGGGGGGGACGGGGGGGGGGAGGGGGGGGGGAGGGGGGGGGGGGGGGGTCTAAATAATTGATTTTTTTCAATCTTTTCGGCTCAAATAATTGAAAAAATCAATCTTTCGGCAGTTGAGCCCCTTACCTTGCTTACGCAAGGAGAAACTTCAGCTAGCTAAAGCTAGCTTGCGTGAAATGACAGGAAGCTTGTCGCAGCTCAAGAACACCAGCCCACAAAAAACAAAGCCGGCTCGGGCTCAAAATGCTGTGGGATGGTTGCAAAATCCATTTCGCACCTAAGAAGCCATGGTTGAAACCGTGGCTTGCTGGCATGTACCGAAGTTTCATCAAAAAACAGGGTTTCTGAACGGTGCGACGTGGATTTCGCAACCACCCCGTTGTCACATTCGGAAGAAACAAATAAACGCAAAACGCAAAACGCCTCGACCAAGGGGTCGAGTTAAATATCGGCAGCCAGGATGGTTCCTTTTGGCTTCCCTTTAAAACCAACCCAGGCGAGGGCGTCCCCCCTTCCTCCTTCCCACCCCACGAACCCCACACTCCGGCCCGAGCACGTCAGGCAACGCACGCCGAAGCTCCTGAGACCAGCGAGCGACTAGGGGGAGGTCTTGCTGAGTTCACTGAACCAATGATTTTGAGGATGTCCCTGGGCTGTCCAAACTGATCCCCTGCTAAAAGTTTGACCAACTTCTGCATGTGGGTTCAGTGGAAAGCCCCGCCAAACGCGAGAAAAAGCTTTAAAATAAACCAAGGAGCCGAATGTGGGGGGGTTGTTTCTTGTTTTATGGCCCCTGCGCAAATCCTTTTTGGCTGGTTTGAAAGGGGAAACCAACCACCTAGAATCCCGAATTTGGAGAAAACCCCCGCATGAGAATTAGGGTGTTTAGGATGGGCACGTGGTTCTTGCCCAAATAATCCTTGCTTGATCCCTTCTGGAATCAGTGCGATCCAATCTCGACCGGCAGTGCAGAGCTCCAACAAACTACCCCAGCAAGTGGGGGCCGGGGGGGAAGTTCCAGTTTTCAAAGTCTTCCGCTCAAAGAAGAATGGGGGCACCAGCGGAACTTCCGCGGGACGATTTTGGGGGCTCCCCCAATTCCATCTTCAGGGGGTGCCAAAGGTGGAAATCCCCCTGATCAAAGGAGACCATTCTGAGTTGACGGCTGGGAGTGAAGCAGCGGCCCACCGGGAGGGTTGGGAAGCAGAACATCCCGAGCACCATAAATGCCAGTTTAGCGCCGCCGTCTGGCGCCAGACACGGTGCTTATGTGCATGTGTTTGCTGATTTTATGGACAAGGCGGTTCTCAGACTCAGAGGGTCACTTGGAGTCGTCCTCAGCTCATTTCCAAGGCTTGCTGGGGAGTCAGTTGGCCGCTGAGGGCCTTTAGATGTGGCTCCCTCTCTTCCTAGGTCCTCCAGTAGAGAGGTTAGAATAAGGGTACCCGTTTTTTGTTGGGGTCCTTAAGTCCAGAGCTGCATGTCGTTGCTTCAATGCTGCAAGAGCAAAAACCCCTACACGCTTTCGCCTATATACTTGGGTGTTGAGCCAAACTGGTACGTAGGAAAATATAATCGTGGTGTTCTAACCGTAACACGTTTTGCGGGACATGTACTTCAGGTTTTTAAGGTGATATCCCCATATCTCCTCTACTTGCATAATTTCGTTGCACTGTTCATGGTCCAAGCGGAAAAGGGTGGAAAAGGAGATGACAATCACTCGACTCATTTTTCCCAGTTTTCTCCGTCACAATCACTAGATCCTCCAGTAGAGAGGTTAGAACGGGGTACCATTTTTTTCTGTATTCTATTTCTGTAGTCTATCTTAGGAGGGGAACCCTACCAAAAAAGTTGGGTGAGAGGTCGGGCACCTATTGCTGGACCTACATGATCCAGCCCGGCTTCAAAAATATGCGACGCGGCACCTGGTGACGAGGGAATTCTCCTCTACCAGCTGCACCAGAAGGGGCGCGTTGAAGGCCTGAGGAAAACCCGGTGCAAGGAACCCGAAGAGGTGGGGTGGGGTGGGGGTGGGTGGGGTGGGGTGGGGTGGGGTGGGGTGGGGTGGGGCAGGGCGGGGCGGGGCGGGGCGGGGCGGGGCGGGGTGGGGTGGGGTGGGGTGGGGTGGGGTGGGTGGGTGATGAAGTAAGACGCTGTGTGAGCTGTTAATTAGGGTAGAAAGCGGTCGGTTGCAGTTGATTTCAGAATGATCAAACATGCAATCTGCGTGCTGAACCTGTGCACAAGCGACAGAGAAGCGAGATCCACAAAGCAGTGCTATTTCGTCAGATGTTTCTGGTGTGATCTTAACCGGTTCGGAGTGGCTTGGGTTGGTGGCTTGCCCTGACAGCTTTGATTCCGGATCTGGAGATGTGATTTGATTATGCGGGCTAATAACAAAACATTAGCGGGTTCATTGTTGAGTGTCCGATTTCCACTTTGGAAGGCACGCCCAACCACTGGAACAATCTTCGACCTTGCAGACCTGGACCAATGCTACCACCGCGTCATTCCAACGCATGCAACTCTGGAAATCGGACAATTGATGCCCCGGGATCCAGGTTTCAATGGGAATGTGTTTTCAAGCAACTGACTGCCGAGAAAAGAGAGAAAGAAACAAAAACATCGGTTGCTAAAAATATACACATGCTTGACACAACATGCTTGACGCATGCCCATCAAAAGTTGGGGCCAACTCTTCTGGGACCGGCACAAAAGAGTCGCCCATCTGAAGCCTTCATTTGGCCATGGGTCAAAATCCAAATCGTACCCCCAGTCAACATCCCAATCCCCACTAAAATAGACTAAAATGGGTGGTGCACCTACCCCAAAATGGTACCATTGGTTTTGACCCACAGCCATTTGGGCACATACCCATTTGGGGGCTTAAAAAAAGGCAGCCGTTTTTGGATTGGATGGTTGCATCAAGAGGAAGACATGTAAAGCAACTATGAATTCAGGCTAAGGGGATGGGGTCCCCATAATTTTGAAACCTCCCAACCAAAAAAGTTGGTGAGAGAAAGGGCCCTAGCTGGGGGACCTAGATAGAGGGCACTGGGTCAATGAGGAAAACTGAAACCAGCGCCATCTCCTTCCACAGCAGACACGTCCCAAAAAACCAATGCCTCCTGCATGAAGGCTGCTACGTAGCCTGGTTGGCGAAACGCGTGTCTCTAGGGCTACCTTCCATTTCCATTCTTTCCAGGGATGCTTCTTTTCAGGAAACCATCAAAAACCCAGGGGCACAGCTGGTGTTTGAAAAGAACGATGGTTGAAAAGAAAGGGGAATCAGCCCTAGAGTGTCACCAACGAAAGTGCAGGGTCGCCTCCTAACCCCAATGCAGTCAAACCTCCGCCCACAAAGGAACGTCACGTTTCGACTTCTAAACACCCACCTACTGGGGATGGACGAAATCCTGCACGACCTAAGAATCCCTGAAATGTTGATTCCCCTGTAAATTCCAACCATCCATGGTTTGTTATGGTTTCAAAGTGGTGCAGGATTTTGTCCATCCAGAGTAGTTAGAACCATGGTCATAGCCTTGTCAAGTGGCTTGAACATCCCAGCGAAGATTCAACTAAATTCGCTTTGGCCAAAGTGAAAGGGGATGATTGGATGACCAAAACCGGGCCCCTGGGCCGGTAGGTGCTAAAGGTGAGGGAAACCGAACCAATCATAGATGTTCTTTTGGAAAAACAGATGGCCCCGGTAAGTAGAATGAAGCCAATCTAAACCAGCGGAACCCATCTATTTGCAAGCAAACTAACCTAAGGAGATCTAAGCAACCAATTGGGTCATAGGCTTAGAGCTGACAGCTGTCGGAAGAGCCAAAAATCGGAGGTTGTCCCCATGTTGCGATCCAGTCCTTCTGCAAATTTTACTATACCCAGACGCTCCCGATTGACTTTGGGCCTTCGAACATCCAACCACAAAACCCCTCTGGTAAGGTGTCCAATGGAGGGTCTGGGTCTTCCATAGGAAGGTGCGGGAGTGTCTGGGTAATGTCAAAAGCTGAATTAAGGGACCCCCAAGTAAGGGACCTTTCTCATGGTGAGCTCGTTATACCCCCAGGCGAGCTCGCTGAAAGCAAAAGGCAGAGTCATTTCTGTGGTCGTCAAAGTCCGAAGTTGACAGCAGTGAGAATACGGATCCTCCAAGTGGGCCTAAGTTTCAGATTATGGTTTTTCATGCAAGCCTCCCCCAACGAATTTCCCCACATATGTTCCTCCGACATCGCCCTACCAAGAAAAGCTCACCCGTGGGCCGAACAAGAGATATTCAAAATCGCCCCAAAAGGCACATACCTGGCCATGGGTTGCATAACCTATGGCGATCCCATTTTGGGGTGGATGAACATCCATTTGCCACTTATGGTGATTCACCCGGGGTACAGGGTTTTGACCCACAGCCCATAGAAACCGAGGGTTTTCAAAATCTCCACAAACAGGTACCCCCCGTCCTAACATAGCACCAAACATGGGGTCCCTTGAAGAGGAAACCAATCTTCCAGGTACCCTCCCAGAGGTGCCATGTAAGTGGAAGGGAGGGTCATTTTTAAAGCCCCCAACACAAACTTGGTTGCTATTGACCCCTCTGCCAAAAGTGTTTTGTTGTTTTTGTTTTACTTTTGGGAGTTTAGTGGAAAACCCAACTTGATTTCAACCAAAAAGTGAAAGTCTAAAGATCCAACCCAATACAGGGATCCTTACATTATACACCTGAGCATTGCCTTGTAAATGGAGGTGTCCTTTGTTTTGGCGGAAACAGCCATGTTTTTCAAATGGTTGCAAAATGGAGATCTTTTAAGGGCCCTGCTTCACCTTGGTCCAAGCACAAACTTATCTTCAAAGAGATAGATGGTCCAAGCTTTAATTCGCCCGGCCATATGCCGAACCCATTTCAAGACCTTCCGTGTGCTTCTTCTGTCGCTCTCCGAGCAACACATGTCTCTTGCGGTTGTCGAGACCCAAACATGGGCTGAGCTCCTCAAGAACGAGCGCCTGCGCGCGTGGAGAACCACATGGTGCTCTCCCGGCACCATCGCTGCAAGGCATCCAGCCTGGCGAAGCGAAGGTCGACGGTCGACACGGCAGGCGGGGTCTGGAGGTGAGGGTTGGCTCAGTCTGTCTCAGCCCTCGTGGTGTTGGCCATGGGAGAAAAAGGGCATGGCATGTTCTGGATTTCCATGGGGAAAAAAAAGGGCATCCGATTTTTTGGTTGGTTCCGCCACATGGCTCAAGACTCCTTCCCCCCACTTGGAGTGCGTGGAGCCCACATCCCGGCCGAAGCCAAAAAGAAGGCCGTCCCGCTCAGGGGAGTGGTTGAGTTTAAAGGGGAACCCTGCCCCAAACAAAGTGGAAGAAAGTCGGAATCCACTGGGCAACAGAGAAATCCTTTGATCGGAACCCGTCAAAGCGTTTCTCCAAGGGACCCTCTGAAAGAGTGGCCAAAATCTCAACAGACTCGAATGTCTGTCACCAAATGAGGAAACCTCCCCCCAAAAAAACGCTTTCCAAACGACAAATTGGGTGGCCAAGTCTGAAACAACACCACCCATGCACAATCGCTCTGCACGAAAGAGGGTGAACAACACCCTATCCATCGCCCCCCACCCACAACACTCAATGCAAAGCGCCTCCTCTACTGTGGATGGACAAATTTATGCACCAGCTGGGATCGTTAAAATCCTATGAATACTGGGGGTAATTCGCCTACCAAGTGGGTGCAGGATTTCGTCCATCCACAGTATGTGTGCACAGTTTTACCATATTCTGCTGTTGTCTCGGTGGAAAATAAGGCAATTCACGGGTTCGCCCCTTGCCGAGGCCTTCGTCTACAACACAAAACAAACATGTCAGATGCTATCATGTTGCATCGCCCTATATTTTGGACCCTGCCCCATCCCGCGAACAGCGGATGATTGCATTGCTAATCAACCACCACTAAACACGGTCCAAGTGGCTTGGGTCTCTGTTGGTGACGCTAAGGTAAGGTTATTATCTGTTGGCAGGGTTCCGTATACTGCCTCTAAAGAACGTCGCCCACCAAGGGAAACTCACCTTCACTGGGCCAAAAGCGTGATGTTTAAAACCGCCAAAAATGATAGGGACCCCTGGTCCACAAACCAGTTTTCAAAAATGAGACGCAGCAGCAAAACCAATCGGAACCTCGGGTTCTCCCCCTCCACTCTCAGCAGTCCACACGCTCCGCGTTTTCTTTCTCCAGCAACTCCCTTTCCATCCGCTCGCGTGCACCTGGCGTCGCGCGAAGTCTTCTTGCTGAGTTGTGCAAAAAGGTGACCGGTGAGCCCAAAACAAAGGGCTTCACCCGGCCAAAAAAATGATCCCGAGTTCGCAAGCCCAAATAGAGTTGGTGCAAAGGGTGAGGCTGAAAAAAGGGGATCGCCGATCGGGGCGATTCTGACTGTTAGTGGCGAACATGGCACTCCCATCCTGTCGCTCGTTCACGTGTGCGCTTTGGGGACGCCTCAAGCTTCCAATTTGGCCCTCGCCAGCCCGGAAATCGTTCCACCAAGTCCTCATTGAAAAAACAGCCGGGTAAAGGATGCTGACATTCTGTTTTCGCGGATCCTCTCGACACATCCCCAGGTCCTTGCCATTTTTGAAACTTAATGCCTAGTTTGTTTGCTAAATCGAACGGACACTGTGTGATTGCCAGTTCTAAGTGTACACTTGTGATAACGCTGGGTGAGAGATGGCATAGCCGGCCCACGGCCAACAAACTTTGACGGACTGGTTGGGCCCTAAGCCAAAAATTCAAACCCCTTCACCAATCCAAGCCGCCATCTAAGGTTTACCTGGGCTTCAGTCATCGAGTTTTAGCCCCCAGTGCAACATGGACCCCTACATCTCCCAGCATTGTTCCGGATGAATCAATGGCAGTTACACACAAAATTAACTTCCGGGTTGTCAAATATATGACCCCCCTTTTTGAACCCTGTCTTGTGTGGTCTAAAGGGATACCAAACAAATACAAAACGGGCCAATTCAACATTTTCCCAATTGGGTCAGGGAAAAAGCTGAGAACCGGCTCCTTGCTCAACATAGTGTATGGGAACAGGGAGGAAGGACTCATGTTCTAGACGCTTCACCCTTGGCCTGTAGCCCCTTGCCATTCCCAGGTGCCCAAGTAGCAAACCCTGATTGTTGAAACCATCAGGACCTTAGCCCTGGGGTTCAAACCACCGTTAAAACAATGGTTGGACCAACATGTTCTCTTCAGGATGTTCATCATCCAAATTGGGTCAACCATTATTTCAATGATTTGAATGTTTCGTTTTTTGGAAACCCATTGCATGTGATGTGTAAAAAACAAATCCCAATGCGTTGAGTTTTTCGGGGTTCGGTCTCATCTTCCCAAGCCTTCGGTCCTCACCTTCACCGCGCCTCAGCCCTCCTTGGCGGCGGCGGCCTTCGCCTTCTTGATCCGGTCCCCCTGGTAATGCGCCGCCGTGCGCGCCTGGCGCTCCGGTCAAAGGTGAAATCGGCCCGGGCGAGGCGAAGGCTGAAAGGGGCAGGGAGCGGGCACCAGGCACCCGCGCGATGCTTGTTTTGGACCCTGCCTTTTTTCTTGCGGGACCATCAGCCAAACTGTTGTGGGATGAAAAAAGCCAGATCATTCTTTTTGGACCATCACCATTCAGCTGCCTGCGGGATCCAATCTTTTTTGGACGATCTGCCATTTGGGACCTGCCAGATGGATACCAAACAACGAAAAGCTCAGGTGAGAAACCCCGCAGGTGGGTGCACTCCGCCCCGTGCATCCCCGAAACCATCGGTTTGGAACTCACGGTGGAAAAGAGGAGGCTTCCCACAAGGGGAGCGCGCGTCCAGGTTGAAAGAAACTCTGCTCTGCAGGTGTAGCTTCGACTTTGAGAAGGACCTTCTACTTCCCCTACCGGATGGATTCTTTGGTATATTCAAGCTCAAAGTTGTTCGAACGGCAGGTTTTGCGAGCAAGTGGTTGCAACAGCAGACATCGATCAGCATCGGACTCTGCAGGCTCCAAAACTAGCACTTCAGTATCTGGTTGGAAAGCCTAGGCAGCAAATGACCCACCGTAATGAATTCCTGGCCAACGACTGGGTGACTCTTTATTTTTTTTCCGGGGGGGGGGGGCAGCGAACAAATCGGGATCCAATGACTTGGGATAAAATACCTATACTGTGCGTAGGAATCATCAGAGAAATCCTCGGTCGAGCACTTTGATTTGCCCAGAAGTGTTCTAGGGAGCCTCGATTTGGGGTTTGATCAGAAGGTCCTAAAAATGGGGTGACCATTAGGAGAGTCACAAAAGAAGATGACGTTCACCACTACATGGGAAAAAAGACACGCAAGGTCATTTTGAGGGCCTAAATTGAATATTGATCAACCGCCATCTAATGCCAGACTCTGAGTCTCCTGTTTGAGGATGGTTCTTGGGGGCCAACAGGTCAAAGGGACTCGAGTCTCACAAGGCATCATTTGATCCCGCCCACCTTAAGTGGGAGGATTCCACTTTTATTGTCTTCCCTATCAAGGGCCCGGGAAAATGGACCCATTTTCATGGAGTTCCAGGGGTCCCCAATTCCATTTGTCAGGGGGTGGGGATTGTCTTTGTCTTGGTGGCGGGGCAAACAACATCTGTAGTTCTACTTGGCAGCCGGAGTCGAACCCATAGAACATTTGCTTGAAAGGCAACGCCTTGCCCAATACACATCTGAATTAACCAAAAAAAAAAAACGAGTTTAAGAGTGGCCAACCCAGATGAGATATCTTTATGGGAGGAATCATCACGGGTGACGGGTGATGTCGCAAAAAACAAATCCAACTCATTTGTGAGGTCGATCGCGCTCACTTGCCCATACTGCCTGCCACTAACGAAGCAGAAAGTGCCCGCCAGTCCCAACATGGCACTTCAAATAAGACTCCGTGTCCCAACAACCAGTCTAAAAGCGGGGAAGCATTTCGTTCGAGGTGATTCCTCCTGTATATGCTGTTGCTTGAACAAGATCCAAAACGCAAAAGCCTATCCCTGGTTTCAAACCACCATTAAAACAATGGTTGGGCTCATATAACCACCATGAGGATTGTCATCATCAAAGTTGGGTCCTTGCCATTCTTTTGATGGGGGCAAGGAACCAAGGCTATGGGGAGCCGCCGTCTGTCTGAGGCCCGGAAAAACATGGGTTAAACCCAATGGGATCCCATTTTGGGGTAGGTGCACCACCCATTTTAGAACCTATTTTAGTGGTTGGATTGGGATGTTCACTGGGGGCTAACCGATTTGGCTTTTGACCCATGGCCAAATCGGAACATCGAACATTTCTTGGCCTTCTTCAGGGTCTTGTAGGCGGACTGCTCCTTCTCCTGGCGAGCGAAAAACGAAAAACCGCACCCGATGGATGGAAACGCGAAAAAGCCGCGAGGCTCGCACCACCGAACTCAGAAACCCGTGTCTGATTCGATTCCCCCTGTAAATAGCCACAACCAATGGTTTCAACCACGGTTTCAACTTGGTGCAGGATCTCGTCCACCACGAAATGAAACTATGGTTGGCATTCCATGGTTTGAAACGGTATTCAACAGGGGAATCGAATCAGAAACCAAGGTTTGTGAACGGCGCAAAATGGATTTCGCAACCATCCACAGTATGACATGGGGGACTGGAGTTGAGTGGATCCATTCAATCACCCGAAAAAGCTTACAATCATCTTGCTGGTGCGACCGGTAGGGAATGACAAAGGGTGTTGAGAATGAACCGTTTGGGGATTCCCTCCAAGGAAACCAATGGTTTATAGGGGTCATTCTCTGCTGAAGATAAGACATTCTAATTCATAGTTGTTGAGCTCTCTCTCTCTCTCTCTCTCTCCGAAGCAATCCCCACGCCATGTTGCTTACATCATCAAAATGTAGAGATAAGCGTCCAAATGGCTGCGTGTTCTGTTTGAGGGCCTTGTTTGGTGGATTTCAGAGAGACCAAAAGGAAAACTGCTTTGCTTTAAGGCACACGAAAATGTATCAGGTATGCCTGGCAATATCCCCGTCCTTGTTTTGCGGA